GCGGGGCACGCCCCCTCCCGCCTCCCCATCTCGACCCCCTTTGGGGGCCCAAATCTTTGCCAGCCAACGGCGCCGCCATCGCCATCGCCTGCGCGGCCCCAGCTCAGCTAAGAACAGGCCTCACCAGGATCTCCATCTGCTGCCGAGGTGGCCAGAGCCCCGCCGCGGCCCCGCGCCCCTCCCTGGGTTTGCCTCCACCACTAGCCCACCGAGCCCTGCTCTCCATACCGACCCGGGGTTCTGGTTTACGCTGCCCAGCCACCCACCCCACTGTCGCGCTCCCACCTCCCAGCTCCTCCCGCTGCTCAGGTCTGCCACCCCGGTCCTCCCAAACCTCCCCCGCTCACGCACCCGGCCTCCCCCCCACTTTGTCCGGGGCCTCGTGTTGCCCCCGCCGGCCTGGCTGCTCCTGTGCCTGCAGCCCACCAGTCCTCCTCCCAGCCCTCCGCCTTGCCCCTACCCCACCACCAGTTCTCTTTCCTCTGCGACTCACACCTGTGCTTCAGGCATCGGAGCCAGCACTGCTTCTCATACACACTCCCCAACACAACCCTCTGGGCTGCACATACCCCTTTCCCAGGGCTGCCTCCACCTGTCCCAGGACCTAGGATTCCCTTGTGACTCTAAGGCTGCCCAGCCCCCACTCCCCTTCCCAGTGCGCTAAACCAACCCACTCCAGGCTGCAGGGCCTTAGGCCCCCTCCCTCTTAGCCCCCACGTTTTGTGTTCTCTTGCAGCAAACACCCCAGTGTTCCTCTGCTCAAGCCTGGCCCCGCCGGCCTGCAGCAGGCAATTCCTGGGCCCCGCTTTCCCCACCCGGCCCAACAGCTGGTGCCGCATTTGCTTCCCTTCTCCTGGATGTCCTTGACTTTCCAACCTCTCTTCTCAATCCTTGCCTGTTCTCTTTTCCGTGTTTGTCCCAGGTGCCACCATGGTGGGGGAACTCCGCTACAGGGAATTCAGAGTGCCCCTGGGGCCCGGCTTGCATGCCTATCCCGATGAGCTGATCCGCCAGCGATTGGGCCACAATGGGCATCCAGAGTACCAGATCCGCTGGCTCGTCCTCCGGCGTGGGGAGGACGGGGAAGGGGGCTCTAGTCAAGTGGACTGCAAGGCTGAGCACATCCTGCTATGGATGTCCAGTGACGAGATCTATGCCAACTGCCACAAGATGCTGGGCGAGGATGGCCAAGTGATCTGGCCTTCCCAGGAGACTGCAGGGGAGGCTGGGGCCCTGGACAAGTCTGTGCTGGAGGAGATGGAAACGGATGTGAAGTCCCTGATTCAGAGGGCCCTTCGGCAGCTGGAGGAGTGTGTGGGCACCATCCCTCCTGCTCCTCTGCTTCACACTGTCCATGTGCTCAGTGCCTATGCCAGCATCGAGCCCCTCACTGGGGTCTTCAAAGACCCAAGGGTGCTGGATTTGCTCATGCACATGTTGAGTAGCCCAGATTATCAGATTCGCTGGAGCGCCGGCCGGATGATACAAGCCCTGGCCTCCCATGATGCTGGTGAGGAGCAGTGTGGGGAGGAAGGGAGAGCGGGAGAGCGGCTGGGCCGGCTTAGGGCCTTACAGGAGCCTCTGACCTCATCAATACGTAAATGATCTGTTGCACTTCTCTCATAATTGGAAGAAAAGGAGGTAGGGTGGTAGGTAGGGGCACCTCTACAGAAAGAGGAAAGACTGAGTCCCCAAGAACCTCATATTAATTGACTGTCTAGGCAAAGGAAGTTTAGACTTTAGAC